TTATTGCCAGCCTCTAAGGTAAATAATTCCCCTCCTGGCAACTGTCTCAAACAGAGAAACTGGAAATTACTGTACCGTGATTATAAGTCAAACTGAACTTGGTCCTACAAGCACATCAGACAAATTAGACACAGTGTTTTCACAATGAAAGGGAAAAAGAAACAGCTGCAGCCACCAATACTGTTGGTGTTTACATCTCTGTTAGCGGAGGAGATTGTCTAGAAAGCTCCAAGCCGACACCAGGCCCCACCACAGTCACAGAGACCACAACTTGTAGTCTTTTCATCTGGGCTGGTGTTGGCTCCTTCCAGCCATAATATGCTTAGTTTTAATTCCATTTTTCTTCTAATAGTGGAGCTAATTCTGCTGCACATAGGGACTTTACCATCTTGCTTTTATAATACGAAAATTAAAGTCAAGCTTCTTAAAATCCTCAGGAAAAACAAAAGTGCATTTCTCAGTTTCCTGAACCAAATGATACACGGTCAAATCTGATAATATAATTTCGTGTTCTTAACTCTGCTCAAATAGTACTTTTAAAACTAAAGTCAAATAATTTAATCAGAGCTTCAATCAAGAGCACTGCAACGTCAATTATGAAAGAAACCAGAGACAAAAGCATAATGTACAGCTGTGTACCCGGACCTACGAGAAGAGCAACAGAAGCAGACTTTCTCTAAACGGTCAAGCCAACAAGACACTGTTACTCCATGTCACCCCATGCATGGGCCTCTCTTCTCAAGACCAAAACTCTTATGGGATCCTACCTCTATGACCTATCAAAAATTGGCTCACTTGTTCAACCATCTCAGACACTGTCTCCTCTCCCTGACTGGGCTCCAAGCAGCCCTGGTCTGTATTCTTCAAATAACCAAGTCCTGTTCACCTCTGGGGTTTCATCTTTGGTTGTGAGATTAGCCTTTAACAGCTGAGCCATCTCTCCAACCCTCATCTCTGGGCTTTCACAGTCACTATTTTTCTTCTGGTCAAAGTGTTTTACTTACAGTTAATTATTCCTTGACTGGTTATCAGGTCTCAACTGAAATATGTCACTTCTCGAGAGAGGCTGGATTAACATCACTGAATTATTTATAATTTTGGTATTCTACTGTCTTCACATAATAACTGCCCATATGACTCTTACAAAGGTTACACCTTTACATCAAATTCCCTGGGTCTTCCTGTTTATATTTTTAACCACAAACAGTCTAAGCCACTATACTGTAAGACGTGCTACTCCATTACTACAGTCTCAGGCAAAGACATAAAACAGTATTATTTGCCATAAGTTTCTGGTCACAGATGACCATGCGGAACACACCTAAAACTCACACCATATCTGAAGAACCCAAGATTAATTTCCCTTGGGTAGGGACATCATGTGAAAAAGAAGAGGTAGCGTCTTCAAGGGTCATGATCCTAATTGTGCAAATGGCCCATTTCCACACATCTTCACAGTGTGCATTTATTCTACCCTAAAATATTTTGTTCTCTATAACTTTATAGTTTGAGGATGTGATAAAACAGAACAAGGGACTGAAAACTCTAGGGCTAAAAAAGTACAGAAATAAAAAGAGATGAACTAATTTTCATTAAATTACTTTTCATACAAACTACTGATCTTCCTATTGTGGCCTACAAAAATATTTTCATTGCTCAATTAGTGATTGTTTTAGCACTACTGCAGACTGAAGTGATAGCTTTGTATATAGGTGACTATTCTCACTGAGTTCTAGTCCCAACCCTCATCCTGCACTAAACTTCTCAGACAATCCCAGAATTTGCACTCATGCTCCCTCAGCCCAACAAGCAGCTGGGATGGCAGACCAGTTCCATCCAGGGAACAGAATGAATGAAGCAGAATTGGGATCTTTAAAGACGTTTTAAATATAGATTTTAAACATGAGTTTAAAAGAGTTGCTTGGGAAGAAAGACATATTTGAGTCATGACATTGAGCATGGAGTAAATTTCTCTAAGAGACGAGGTGAATTTCTTCAAGAGACAATGGGGTGGACTTCTCCAAGAGTCAATGGGGGTGGATTTCTCCAAGAGACAATGGGGTGAACTTTTCCAAAAGTCAATGGGGTGGACTTCTCCAAGAGTCAATAGGGGTGGACTTCTCCAAGAGTCAACAATTACATATTTTAGTGCACATAAAAATTATTCAAGTATCCTAAGTTAAAATAAAAGGCATCATACTTTTCCTTTTAATATTAGTGAAAATATTTTTTTCATTTAATGATCTCCTACTTGGCATCAGGATCTTCAGGAAGAATGCAAATTTAATGAACACGGAATACCTGTATTTACCACAGTATGTATGTATTTGACATGGAACATAAGTTTCCTGTAGTGGTCCAGGGAAACACTAAAGGAGATCTAAAGTACTCATAGTGATGAGGGAAAAAACAAGCAAACAGGACATAAGTCAAGTTTCACCTTTGTGGTACAACTAACTGAAATGGGTACCTGAGACAGAAACAGATTTAAGGATTAAAAAGAGAAATAGAGTCAGGCTTGGCAGCACATGCCTATAATTCTAACATTTGCGAGGTAGAGACAGGAGGATCAGAAGGCCAAGGCCAAGGCCATTCATTCCTCTGCTATAAATAGTTAGAGGCCAATAGGGCCATGTGAGACCCTGTAAGGGATAAAGGAAAAAGAGGGGATGCAGGGGGGAAGAAGCGGGGAGGAGGAGGAGCAGAGAGAGGTAGAAGGCATGGGGGAGAGAACAGGAACACATGAGCTAGAACACCAGCAGGGTTGTTTTTGGATATGATTACCCTGAAATGCCTATCAGCATCCAAACAGCAATGTCATCATGAGCACGGGCTACCAAAAGCAGAGTATAAAGTATAAACAGCTGGAACTATCATCAGCAAAGACTTTGCTAGTCTTTGGTCTGGACTGGATCAATGAGAGATTAAATCAAAGGAGATGGAGCCCGGACCCTAACGTTTGCCGAAATGACAAATGGGCTTCCTTCTGCTAGTTTCCTCTGTTGCTAACTAATTCATAAAGGTATTTTTCAATGATAACATAATACAGTTATTCCTCTGAAACAACAAGAGATTGACTCCAGGAACCTAAGAATGCTCAAGTTTTTCTATATAAAATGGTGTATATTTGAGATAACCTAGACATGTCCTTTCATTGCTTGAACCATTTCTAGAGTAATCAGAACAAATGCAATATAAAGCAGTTATTGCTCCACATTACTGAGGTAATAATATGCTCCCCAATTTGTCCATGTTCAGTACAGACGTGGTCAGCACAAGCATGTGATGTGTGGTTCCTGAATCTATGTGTGTGGCATCCACAGATGTGGAGCCACAGATATAGAGTTAAATATGTTGTCACCAAAAGCATCTTAACTGGGCCGGGCAATGGTGCACGCCTTTAATCCCATCACTTGGGAGGCAGAGGCAGGTGGATCTCTGAGTTCGAGGCCAGCCTGGTCTACAGAGTGAGTTCCAGGACAGTCAAAGCTACAGAGAAACCCTGTCTCAAAAAACAAAAAACAAAACAAAAATAACTGAAATATAACAGAAAAATTCTCAACTATCTCCTGTATTCAATATGTGTATCTACTATGTTATCTACTATGTTCAGTATGTGTAGGTAATTTTAACTTTCATATTCAACTAGACTTACAATATTTACAACATAATTTCAAAGACAATCTTTGGGACTCCCTTCAAGAAAAATAAAAGCCAGATTCTAACCTCAAACTGCTGTATTTACAGAGAGAGAAAAAGAAGGGGGGGGGGAACAAAAAACAAAAAGTTCCCCTTCTGAAAGTAGCAGGAAAAATCTTAAAGACAACAGCAATCACGCTTCCAAAATGACCCACATTCCAACAGTGGCTCCTTTAATTTATAATACCACAGACTTTCCTCGGCTATTACCAAATAATGTGGAACACAAGGAATGCTGGGAAAACCCAGGTCAAAAACATTTAATAATTCTTCCTTGTCCTGATGTTCTGGTTTCTACAGACACCAACTAAGTCAACTACTAGACAAATTAGGATGCAGTTCTTAAACACCTTCTATTCAGAGAGAGATGTGAGAAACAGCTGTCTGAGTGAGAACTGGAAGCAATGAAGTCACTGTGTGCTTGGGACCTAAGTTTAGATTAAGGTACACATGATCTCCGTAACACCTAATGGTCACACCACCCAACTCCCCGAAACACAACAAAGCCCAACCTCAAGTGAACAGAGAAAAAAAGCCTAAATTATATTTTAAATTAGTTTTCCTATTGTATGACTTTAAATTCATAAAACAAAGTTTTTCTCCAATATCATTTACTCTGTCAAGCTAACCCATATTGTGATGTGAAGCTGCTTTCCCACTTGAGGGAAAAAATTATCTTTGGTAACAGAATATATTTTTCACAAATGAATACAGTCTAGGTAGATGCTGCTCAGTAAGACAAAACACAATTTATCAGCATTATTAAAAAAGGAAGGAATCACAAAACTAAATGTCAACTTAGCTGTGGATACAGACACTAATTCCAAACCTCCCTGAATTACTCTACTTAAGCAAAGATGATTACTATGGTAAAATTCCTGTTGTTTCTTCTCTAATATTGTCACTTAGAATCTGTATACTGGTGAAAGCCAATTGACCCCACAATTTCTACTAAAGACAGCAAGAGAAACTAATTACTCCAACTGTAAGGAGACATTTCACACAATGGAACAAGGCATAAGAGGGTTATCAACTTTTAAATATGAAGACAAAAAGCAAGGCCAGAAACACTATCCCTTTATACTACAGTCCCATTATGAAATCTTCACAACCCCAGACTTCAGAGAAGGTGCAGATCCAGGATGAGAGTCCAATGTTACAGTCTGTAGTTTACAAGCTACAAAATCAACACTTTTAAAATTAAAGATGCATACTTGGGTTGAAAACACACTTAGTGTCGAAACACTTGACTAAGTCATCTCAGAAGTGTTTAAGAGCTGGAAGAACTTAATTACTCTTACCTTTGCAGACACTCAAAATCATACCGCCCGAATTTTGTACTTCATCAAATTTGGCAAGTATCATTTCTAATCTGGGAATAAAGAATAAATTGTTTTTACATAGAGATGAACAGAAACAATTTCCTTTACCATCTCTCTTAGGAAAAAGAGCCTAGGGATTTGCTCTATGTATACAACTCTCCTACAGTTGATTCAAAGAAGACACAAATCCTGCTCTCTTCATGAGATGCCAACTACAGGTCTAAGTCTACATATGTAGTAAGTCAATGAAAAAGACAACTTTCACACAAAGCAATTCCATCAAAATTATTTCTCCAAGCCTGCAAAAAAATCTTCTAGTTCTATCCTTGTAACCAATCCATTCAGACATCGTCAAAAGCTTGTGAAAATTATGCTAAGGAGATGGAAGGCAAATACAACAAGATGAAGAAAGGCAAAAGTACAGTGAGGTCAGTAGGGCTGCAGCTGAGGCTTCTTCTGACATTCCCTAACTCCCACAACACAGTTCCACTAAATTTATATTCAGGGTAATTACTCTTTCCACACGTCTGCTAACGCTTTTTTTTTAAAACAAAAAACACACACATTTCTTACTAGAAAAGTAATGTACATTTATTACACAACGAAGTGAGGAATGTAGCAAGGAGAAAGAAAAAAGTATCAGCACATATTCCGACCACACAGAGAATTTACTTTTGTGGAGTATTTATATTCACACAGATCTTCCTTTGGGATAAACCTAGATCTTACTGACAATGTTTTACTACAGTTTGCTTTTCCTCTGCAGAGGAAAGATACAAGCTGCTTCATCCTACAACACAGTATCTTCCATGGGGTTGAGCAGATTAAGAAGGTAAGATGTGGGCATGAGATGCAAGGGAGCACAGAAGCTGGAAGCTGACACCCCAGAACAAGTCCAGATGAGCCAGGGACAGAAAAGAAAGGACTTAAAAAGGCTAAGGGGGGGGGGGCAGTATAAGGCTATGAGAAACATGAGACTACATGAAGACCTTGGTTCCCTTGGCAACACTAAAAGAAAAAAAGCCTGAGACCAATACATAGGAAAATGGGAGTAGGGAATTTAAGATAGATAGCTTAGAATGAGCCAGGGAGGGGGGATGGTGAGCACATGCTTGTAATCCCAGCACTTGAGAGGCTGGAGGAGCAGGGACTCCATGTGAGCAACAACTGTTAGGTGAGTCCAAAACCAACGTGGGCAGAAGAATCCAGCCTGTCTTCAACAAACAACAAACAGAAAGTTCAGAAAGGGGCTAGTATGGAATTAAAATGGAAATAAAACATGAAGCACGGAAGAGATACAAGCAGCATGACTAAGAAGAGGAAGCACTGAGACCGCCGAATATTAACAGGAATGGTAAGAAGTGATGAAGCGGGGCAGGAGAAAGGGCAGCGTCCAGAGGTCTAGACTAGGCTGGGCAGGAAGTGAGAAGATGCTTACTTCACACTTCATCTTGTGGTCAGTTCTCACTTTCCTCCTAGAACTATCCAAGTGTCTCCTAGGCCTCTCTTCTTTCCATTCTCCTTAACCAATGTTCACAGGGAACTGCAATGCAACCTCAGTATTTATTAAAAATTATTTAATCTCCTGCTCAAACATTATCAAAGACAAACTTTACATCTTTAAAGTAAACAAATGAACAAATAAAAGCACAGTAGTTTTCTACAGACTTCACTAAAGATTCCAAACCCCATCATTAAACTTCAAACACATTTTAGAAATACGATTTTTGAGAGAAAGGTCTCACTATGCAGACACAGCTGGCCTGGCACTCCCTCTATATAGGCCAGGCTGGCCTCAAACTCACAAAGATCCACCTGTTTCTGCCTTCTGGATGATGAGATTAAATGCATATGCCACCATACCTGACAGAAACTCATTCTTTTTTAATTCTACTTGCACTGGTGCTTTGTCTGTATGTCTGCGCGACAATGCTGGATCCCCTGGAACTGAAGTTATAGATAAGTTGTGAGCTGCCATGTGGGTGTTGGGAATTGAACCCAGGTCCTCTGTATTAACAGTCAGTGCTTTTAGCCGCTGAGTCTTCTCTCAAGTCCCCCAGAACTCATTCCTAAGAGAATAGCTTTCATGTATAATCTAATGGAAATGGAAAAGAAGACTCTAGGCCCTTTTGAGTAATTGTGTGAGGATGAGAGGAGCAAACTGAGCAGAAGGAAAACACAGCAAAGTGTCCAAAAGAATGCAACACTTCTTAGGAAGTCAGTGAAACTCTGAGAAGGCCAGATTTACACACTAAGGGAGACAGACCTGGAAAATGCATCTCTAACTGAAGTGCAGTCCCAGGTTCCAAGTTAAGAATAGTAAATTAAGGTTAGGTGTTCAGAGTCATCTGCTTTGGGCTTTACTGAGTGAGACTTGAAATATCATACAACTCATGGCACTGAAGTGTGCTTTTCAGAGCTGGGATATAGCTCAGCCACAGAACACTTGTGGAGCATGTATGAGGCCCTGGGATTGATCTCCAGAGCCACCATGAAAGAAAATAAAATGCACAACTCAGTGGTTTATAGCATATCCCGAGTGATACAACCAATATCACAATTTTGACATTTTTATCATCCCAAGGAACACCCACATATCCATTAGCGGTAGTTGTTTCTTCCCTATTTTCTCTCTCCTCTCCATTCCTAGGTAATCATTAATCTATTACCTTTGTTATAGACCATACCTGACCTATGAATTACCGTATCTGGTCATTTAAATAAAATGGAATCATAATGCAGACCTTTTGATGACTGGATTCTTTCTAGTCCACTGTATGGATATACTGTACTTGAATATCCACTCATTAGTTGCTATACGTGTGGACGGGAGGTGTTTCCATGGTTTTCTGACTATGACTAATGCTGTCAGGAAAACTTCCATAAAGGTTTTTGTAGAGACATGTTTTTCTATCACTTGTACACCTATGAGTGGAACTTGCTGGGTCATGTGATAGCTCTATGATTGACATTCAAAAGACTTATAAACTGTTTTCCCAATTGCTTTATTATTTTATGTTCCCATGAAAGTTTCATCCTTTTATTCTTTGTTACCGATGGTAGGGTGAAGAGGTATGTAGCTTTGTTTTGTTCTGAGGTATGTAGTTTTGATCAGAATTTCTTACATAGCTAAATAATATTCAGCATCATTTTATGTGTTCATAGCTATCTGTATACCATCTTTCAAAAAGTATTTAACTAGGTGGTGCATGCCTTTAATCCCAGCTCTCAGGAGGCAGAGGCAGGTGGATCTCTGTGTTTGACATTAGCCTGGTCTATAAAAGCAAGTTCTAGGACAACCACATTGGTTACACAGAGAAACCCTGTCTTAGAACACTAAATAAATAAATAAATAAAAAATGATATGAAGGCAAACAAGGGCAACAGCAATAGCCTGTAATATTTTAGGAGTATCTTAGACAACCTGGCCAACAATTCAAAAAAGGGATTCTGATTCCAGGTGTTGAGGTTTTTGTTAGATGGTCTTGGCTCTTAGATGAAGTATTGTCAGCCCAGGTGAGAGAATTTCATAAACTATATATGAATATTTATCTGTAACTTTAATGTGTATTATTGGCTTTTTGAGGTAGATTGTTAATAGTATGATTCCTATGACTTTCCCAGACATACTTACTGTTATTTTACCTTCCTCTTTCCTCCTTCTGTAGTCATCCCCCATCCACCCCTAGTTAGAGCCCACCACGTTTTTCCATTTCCTCCGTCAGGTGAGCTGGGCCCTGCTATTTCCCTCTCTATTGATCCACTACCTGCCCAGCCTCCAATGATCCCTTTCTTTCCTGTTTTCGGCAATTACTCCAGTGTATGTACTTACACTTGAAGACCTGAATCTAGGAACCTCTGATGAGACATTTGTTCTCCTGGAACTGGGTCACTTCACTCAAAATGATCTTTTCTAGTTTCATCCATTTATCAGCAAAGTTCATGGTTTCACTTTTTTTTCTTTACAGCTGAATAGTATCCCACGGTGTTTATGTGCTCCATTTTCATTACCCACTTGTCAACTGAACAGTATTTAGTTTGTTTTCATTTCCTAGCTACTGTGAATACAGCAGCAATGAACATGATCGAGCAACTATCTGTATAGTATGTCAAGTCCTTTTGGGCATATGCCAAGGAGTGGTACTGCTGGGTCATATGGTAGATTTATTTTTAGTTTCCTGAGAATTCTCCACACTCATCTCCATATACAATGGGGTAAGATGAAATCTAGAAAGTGTTTTGATTTCCATTTCCCTAATTACTAGGGATGATAAATATTTTTTGAGACATTTCTTATTTTGTTTTTCTTCTTTTGAAAACTCCCTGTCCAAGTCCTAGGCCCACATTTTTAATGGGCCATTTGTTTATTTTTGATTCATTGTTTTTTGAGTTCTTTATATATTCTGGGTATTAATCCTCTTTCAGATTTATAACTAGCAAAGATTCTCTCCCAATTTTTAAGCTTCCTCTCCACCCAACTGTTTTTTTTATTTGTTTGTTTGTTTTTTAGGTGTGTAGAAGCTTTTTACTTTTGTGAAATCCTACTTGTCAGTTGCTGGCCTTAATTTTAGGGCAAACAGAGTCCTATTCAAAAGCTTTTTCCTGTTCCTATATCCTGTAGGCACTGCCTATGTTTTCTTTTGGCAGTACCAGTGTTTCAGGTTTTACAGTTAGGTCTTTGGTCCATGTGGAGTTAGTTTTTGTGCAAGGTGATAGATACGGGTCTAATTCCATTTCTCTATGTATGGACAACCAATCAATGAAGATGTTTTCTTTCTTTTGGTTTTTTGAGACAGGGTTTCTCTGTGTAGCCCTGGCTGGTCTTGAACTCACAGAGATCCACCTGATTCTGCCTCCTGAGAGTTGGGATTAAAGATGTATACCACCACCACCTGGCCTAAAGATGCTTTCTTTTTTCACATCTTATGTTTTTAGCACCTTTATCAAATATGAAATGACTGGCTGAAAAGTGGTGGTGCATGATGTTAATCCCAGTACTTGGGAAGAGGAGGTAGGTGGATGGATATCTGTGATTTATAGAGCTAGTTCC